ATGGAATCGGAGATAGTGAGCTCCACTTCACTGGTTGTGTTCAAGAAAATATGAATATCTATCTGTCATGAAAGACTAAATTTGGATTCTTGCATTGAATAAGGAGTTGGTTGAGATGAGTCACATGACCCCCCCCAACTCTCGATTCTAGAGGTGCGTTTAGTTATCTGCTTATTATAATAGGAAACATATTATTTTCTCTAACTCAATACTTGCCTAAGGATTTATTAAGAATATAAGTACATTTATATTCACATACTTCCATGTCTTTTTTCTTGATAACATTAACAGCCAGAAGAGGCAGCATTCGAGTCGATAGCCTGCCGAGCATTGCTGAAGGCAATATCAACAAGAGAGACCAGGCTGAGAAGCATGCTGAGCCTGTGGTAAAAACAATGAAAACGCAAAGGTTTTTGATGCCACCAAATAGTAGCTATCTCATTATGTACTATCCCATCATTTAAGTTACCTTATGCAGCTTGCTCTTACTCCTGCCTCTCTAAAAATAAAAACACAGTAATTATGAAAATGACCTACAGAGATCTGTAGCATTTGCTTTAATGACTTGAGTGAAATATTTGTGTTTTGAACCAGGAAATGCCAGTTTAATCCTATATTCTTTAGTCAGAGAATGACTAAAGACTGTCTTTTTAAATTAGGACACAATTTACTCCATATAAGCTATTTTCTATATCAACAGGAAATAACTGTTGTAATTCTGAAAGAAGGAAAAATTCAGTTTTAGTCTCCAAATTGAAACAGTAACAGCAGACTTATACTACAAAAGTACAGTGCAAAATAATGTCACAATGCACACATATTTCTGGTAAGTTTTTCTCTATTGTAAATATACTGGTACAGAGAAATCTCCAAGTTACTTATATTTCTCTTACCGATTTTGAGCATCACCTGTCTCAAAACATTCCACCCATTATTTCCTGCTACAATTAATAACTATTGGTATCAAGGAGGGAAGGAAAACCTATGAATTTCCTGCATGGTATGAGTTATGATATTTAAACTATGTGTGCATGGCATGTTGCTATTCATCCTTCAAGAATTAAAAATAGAACTGATTCAGATATTAGAAAAGTACATTTATTTTCAAGAGTGCCTTGAGGAGCAAGTCTGTTTCTTATGTGTAAATAAACCACAATCAGTGTGCAAGCATGTGCAAAAAATCTAAAAACTTAATCTACTACTGTAGTCCTATTTAAGAGGAATAGGAGAAAACTAGAAATTAAGACATGTTAGCCATGTTCATATGACATTGCTGTTTGGGCCATTCCTTTTCCCAGCCAGATGCACAACTTCCTTGTGTTGGTATCATGTGACTCAATCAGTAATCCAACAGACCCCTTTTTCAATCAATATAATCATTCAATGGAAGGGAACTGAAAACTGCAAAAAGGGAAGGAATCAGTGACATTCTGTTCATAAGAAATGTGTGTGTTATTATTGAACAAATAGACTGAAATATATATCTAACTGAATATTTTCACATACCTTTATATTCAGCTCACTACTACAATTTTTAAAAATATATAAATTACATGTACTGTATATTAAGATCAAACTCTTAATGGCTGTGTTTTGGAGCAAATGCTATATTTTTTGCTTATAAAATAGGATAAATAAGAAGATAAAACTATAATATATATTCCACATATATAGCCAGAAATCAAAATTAAGCTAAGTTTAAAGATACAATTAAATTGTAGAATACCAATTAATGTGGAACAGGGCCACTTTAATATCTATTTCTGATAGATTAAGCCAGATAGAGATAGACTAGTTTCTTGTGGAATCTTCTTACTATAGTTCTGAAATTAAAAAGATTTGGTACAGACAGAATTAAAATTTGAGATTCACCAGTTTGAAATTCTGTTGGACTCTCAGATTTTTCAGAGCTGTAGTAGCTGGTTTCAAGTATTTTATTCAACAAGTCACTTTAAGATAAACTGAATTCTCCCATGACTTCCAACAGTGACTTGACCATTCACAAAAATTTCTAATGGAGCTTACTGTAGTCATTGTTTAAATGAGGAGCCTCATATCTGAATGTGCTTCTGTAATAATGGGAAACAATCTACTTTTACAATGGAAGGTTCCTGTTTCTCCTACTCAGTTCTATCCCCATTAAATTCAAAAGGAGTTTGGGCTTTGGCATGCAGGTTTACAATAAGTGGGAGACATGCATCAGCAAACAAACCAACAATCCTGGTTTGAAGAGAGAATACTTTGCAATCACAAAAACTGAGTTGAATAAAAAACACTATTTGAATTGTTTATCATGAATAGTTTCCTTACAATATCAGTATTGTTAATACTCTTCTTATTGGGTAAACCTGGTTTAGACCACAAAGCAAAACAACAGACCTTAAGAGAGATGTGTTGGAACTGGGCTGGCTCAGTTTCTTAACTGAAAATGAAAGGGACTTTCAGTAGATAGTTCTAATAGAATACTACCTTTACGAGAAATTCTAACTGCCATTGTTCAAATGTCAATGGAATAATGGAACATTGGGTATGGTTATGAAAAGTATAAATAATAAACATATCCTACTCTTAATAATTTGGGTAAGCTTCAAAGGACCACATAGGCAAAGGCAACCAAATCACTGTAGCCAACTCATTGGCTAAGATCCCACTCATTAGCAAAGCATCCATAACAAATTGCAATGTAACCTAAAAGATTTTATGAGGGGAAATTGTCATCATGCCAATATAACAATTGTATACTTATATCATGGTATCTGATCTAACTATATTGGTCACTGCATTTCAGTGATGAAATCATCACGCACATGTGGTCATTTGCCCCACTTTGCCTATCCTGCAGGTGCCCTCATAATTTGTTGCCTCCGAGACCAGGTTGCCATTCCCATATGAAACTGATTTGGTCATAAAAGTGATTTATTATAAAGTGGTTGATCTGGTTGAAAGGTAATTCTGTGGTCCGTGCACTGGTGGCCCTGTGTATAGACCAAATATTGTTCAATTTTAAGACCTTGCAACTATGACAACTTGTTATTGTTGTTATCCCAATTGTAAAAATATAGACCAATCAGGAAGTACTAAAGCTAGGTCATAGTTATAAGACAATTTCTACTGCAATGCAGTAAGAGGGAGAATGTAATTCTTTCTTTCCCAGTCACGATCCTAATAATTCAGTATACCCTTTCATAGATTTCTATAGATTCTTCAGTTCCAAAAATATCTTTAAAAAAGATGTAATTGTCACTTAAAGATGGGGATTTCAGTTTTTAAATCTTGAATTATACCATTATTAATACCTTTTGACTAGTACCAAATTTTGGATATCTTCATATGCTACAAATTCTCCTTCCTGGACTATTTGGAATAATAATCACATGCATCACCTTTATTTAATTGGACTATTGGGAATCCAAAATAAAATTTATTTATTATATGTCTTGTTACTATTATATAACTTTAAAAACTATGGTATATTATTTCTGCAAAATTGCATTTTGTTCTTTTTTGTTTCCTAAAATCCAACTCAAAATAAATTAAAATGTGATGAGCTTCTTTGATGAACGCAGGGATCTTTACACTAGATCAAGTAGTAGATTGTAACAATGAATTTTGCCATTTTCTATATTAAAAAATAAATACTATTTGTTGGTTGTCCTCTACTGGTCATATTTGTAATTACAATATTTATTGACATTTAACCTTAAACCACAGAATTAAGGAAGCTTTATAAATTTTCCGTAGAGCAGTGGTGGCCAACCTATGGCACGCGTGCCAGAGGGGGTACTCAGAGCTCTCTCTGTGTGCATGCGCCATTGCCCCAGCCCCACCTCCCTGCTTCCCCCAGCGGCCCCCTCCTCACCAGCAGTCCCCTGGAGGAGAGTCGCCCCCAGGCACAGCCCACGCGAAGCAGCCCAGCCAAGGAAATGGCAGCCGGGCAGCGGGGACAAGACTCCACCCTCACGTCCCGTCACATGCAGATGATACGGGGCACAGGCGAGGGCATGGCTGCCATGGCGCTGCTGAGCCGCCTGGGCGATTGGCGGGCCGTGGAGGTGGTGAGTGGCCTTTAGGGGCGGGGTGGGGGGCAGAGCGGGGGCTGGGGCGGTTTTTGGGCACTCGATCTCTAAAAGGTTCGCCATCACTGCTCTAGAGCAAAAGGTGGGATAAGGTGGGATATGTAAGAAATATCATCTAACAAACATTTTAATAATGATCTAACAATTATTCTATTGGTCTCTAACCCTCCCTGTTCCTAAGCCTTGGCTAACGAATCCTTCAGGTGTTATTAATACATATTCTATTTGCTCCAGGCCATCTCTATTCCAAACTTTTAGCTGAGGTCTGCAAGATGCCTGACTCTTTGTTACTGTTATCAACTTTCTAACTACCCAGAATTGATACACGTTTTACACATGCATATTCACTGTGAATAAGCATTCTTTGTTCTTGCCAGACAAATTCCCCAATTATAGGCTTCCCAGTCTCTTTTCAAGTGTATGCCATAACCTTGCTTTGTTTTGGCAGCCAGCCCATCAGGGCAGTTATAGAAATTGAATGAATGAATGAATGAATGAATGAATGAATGAATGAATGAATGAAGATTCTGTGGACATTATTAGTGTCCCAAATTAGCTTTCAGGGCCCAACTTGAAGTTAGAACAATTAATCAGTGGAACAACCTGCCTCCAGAAGCTGTGAATGCTCCAACACTGGAAGTTTTTAAGAAGAGACTGGACAGCCATTTGTCTGAAATGGTATAGGTTTTCCTGCCTGAGCAGGGGATTGGTCTAGATGACCTCCAAGGTCCTTTCCAACTTTATTATTATTATTATCATCATCATTATCATTATAATTATCCATTCCAATTAACTGCAGCTAAATGCAAACCCCATTATCAGATTTGGATTGAAATTGCACCATGAGTAACTCTGCTTAACATCTTTTCTTCTGCACTGTACTGCCAGTGAAGGAGCCTGATACCGCTCTGTTCCTAGAAGGCAAGTGCAGCATTATAGATGCTCTCTGTAAAACTACATTTCACTGGAAATTATTTGGTTCCCACTGTCACCATAGCTGTCACACTCAACTTTTATCTTATGATTGGAGTGCTTTTTGAGGCTAGTATTTAATATGGTATTTTTCTTTGTGATTTTAGAATAAATGTTTACTATTAAATGGTTTAAGGTGCCTAATGAAATGCCTTAAGAAGGCCCTTATGATATAATTAGACCTCTTTGTACCTTTCAGGGCTATCCACCATGGTATCCTTCTAGACTACCAGCAAGAGTTGGAATATGAGACACTTCTAGCTGATCTTGTTACTCCAGTTAGAAGTTCTTATGCTGATAATAGCCAGGTATATAATTTCACCACAGGGCTGGATTGGGGATACTGTGAAAGTCCTGGCCCAGTTCATTGAACTGGAATAACCTGGGTTGATGGAAACAAGCTCACATCAAATCCCATTAAATACAAGACATTTTAATTCTTTGTCATTAAAATAATCAGTCTGACCTGATCCTGGTTCTAACTTTGTCTCTGGATGGGATCCCACTCCCACTTAAACCCTTACAAAAACAGCAGGTGGAAGCTGTGGCCAAGAGGCTTATGCCAGCTCCAGTTGATGCAATAATTGCAGCCTTTTTGACCTGAGATGACCTGGCAACAGGAAATCCTGCCCTTGACCCTTCCTGCATACACCACTATAATTGTAATGATATGTGGGAATGAACTTGGGAGACAGACGAAAGAGCCAGAGCCATGGGAACCTCAGATAAGAGGCAGATTAACCAGTAGCAGGAATGTGGGCTTGGCAAATGTTTCAGACAGGATCCTCCCTAGTCTCTTGGGTAGAAAGGTGATGGGGGAGAAATATACTTTCAGATTTTGTTAATATAACTTTACAATAAAATAGAATTAGGTCATCTGGGCAAACTGCTTGTCTGAATTACTTCGCAAAACTGACAGTAATTACTGTCCATGGGACTCCCCTTGAAGATGACTTGGAACTTAAAACAAATGCAAGGTTGTCTGTTAAATAGAATTAACAGATTCAGCAGTGTTACCTACTGAAGATCCTGCATTGGCAGACTCCAATTCTGAGTCTAATTCAAGATGCTGATAAACTATATATTATTAATACACTGATTCTTGTAATCTTTAATTGGGTGAAACAATCTACCATAGAGCAAAACATTTTGAACCAAGGTACCTCAAATGGGCTACCTTATGGAATGTGTCCAAAATCCGTGACTCATGACTTGCTTAGAATTGAAATTTCGCAAATATTAATAAAACATTTTATGACAGGGTCATTATCATAAAGCAATATAATCACTTTTAAAGCCCTGAATGAATGGGTGCCAGGGTTTCTATGGGAACACCTTTCCCACTCAGCTTTTTACCTACTTCATCCAATGAAGACAGGTATCCCTACTCTGCAAGAGGTGGGGAGGGCTGGGACTTGATGAAGTCTTCTGACAGTAAATCAATTTGTATCATTTGTTGAAAAGGGTAAGCAACAAAGAACTGTATAAATAAAACTGCATAAACACCGAAAGACAGTATGAATATTTAAATGTATAAAAATAAATTAATTCACACCCAAGAAAGCAAAGCAGTGGGCTGGAGCAAGTAAAACATATGATGGCATCTGAAAACATATTATTTTGCTGTTGTTCTCTTGTTGTTGTTAGGAGTTGCCACACCTATTAAATTCCCTGACAGGTCACTAAGCAGTGAGATTCAATACAAGCCATGTTCTTCCTAACTGAAAGGAAACTGGATCTTAAATTACAAGTCCCTGGAGCATGGAATAAACTTAGGTAGCAGGCAGGAGGCAGGGCTGTATTAGAATAAAAACAATACAGGCAGGACAGAGCTGGCAACACAAGCAGTGAATTCATGCTGCTATAGTTTTCCACTAACTTGTAAATGGATGAAGAAATGTTTAGCACAGTTGTGTAAAAAGGGCCTCCCCCGCCCCCCAGTATTGGGATTAAACTTGATTTTATAATTTTTGTTATTATTATTTTTGTGTGTGTTAACCATCTGCTTGCTCCAATTTAAGGTTCACCAAGTCAAACCACTGATTGACTACTGTAGAAAGGTATTTGCTCCCAGCCTCAGCTGCCCAAATCTCACAGGGTCGCAGGCCAGCATATCTGAACAGTAATGTCCATTATTGACAAAGATGAATACAGGCATTAAAAGCTGCAGTTGGAATACATCAAGGATGCTCAGTTTTTTCTGAGTGAAGAAAATATTCACTTGGGTTTGATTGGTTTGCTAGGAGCCATATTCCAAAATGTGTTGGGTGGAACCCAAACAAAAACAAAATCTGATTTACATTTAATTAAAATCAAATATAATTCACATAATCACATTCCAGAAGTATTTAACACATTGCCCTCAAACCACTTGCAGGATTAAGGCTTCAGAACTGTACAACTCTGACATAAATCCACTGAATGAAAATTCAAGTTCACCAAATGTCCACAATTATAATTGGCACATAAAAAAATAATTTTATTATGTAGAAAAAGTACTGTTTTTGTAACAAAATGAGTAAATCTTTGTGGAAAACATGAAATAAGGCTTCTTATGAAAAGCAAAATCATCAATTCCTGTAATTTCAAGAAAACTGTTAAAATTTCTCTCCCAACAGCTTAAGAATCAGTGAATTGCTTAAAATAACCATCTGTAAAGTTACACTTGATAGGATGAATGCTTCTTTAATTATTTCAATCTTCAAAAAGTACTAATTGTACTCCTTAATCCGACATAAATAACGTCACCACAAATCACAACCATAATTTGATTGTTCATAGTTTTACCCAGGATTTGCTAACCATTAAAACTGCCTAAAACAAAATATATAATAAAGAGTAAAACATATAATTCAAATAACATTTTCTTCTTCTTCCTACTAAAGAATTACTTTTCCCCCTAACAGGAAAAATAACAGAAATGCATGCAATTTTCAGGACAGCCTTTATGTTTTCCAAATTGGGTCTTGCCAATCCATTTTCTCTTTGTCCTTACTGGCACACAGTCCTTTTCTGGAACCAAATCAATTTATAACTTTTTCAAAGCTTTCCTTAGGTTGGTTTGTTCAGAGTTAGACTGCAAACTTTTCTTCTCCCCCCCCCCCCGCCCCATGTCATATTATTGTCTCAGGAGATGTCTGCCTGTGTAAGAGTGGGCACTGAGAGCTAATTTTTTGTAAATAAAGCTTAATACCAAAATAATTCCTTGAAAGTAATAATTTCTGAGATAAATCAAAATACAATTCTACTTTTTTCTTAATTAAAAAACATAAGTTGCAAAGTTCAGCTAGGAGACTCTCTTTGCCATCTTGGGAGGAGGGGAAGGATATCTTTTGGAAGAATTCATTTCATTTAAAAAAACCAAAAATAAATTTAATTCAGCACCTAGTTTTCTTCACATTTTGATCATGGGAAGTTCAGGAAACGAGAAACTTTTTCATTAGTGTTTAACTACCAATTCATTAGAAAATAAAACTCTATAGATCACATGAGTAAAGAAATATCTTAATTCTAGGAGACTTTAAAATAAACTATGGCTGAATAATATACTATACATCTACCCAATAATTAGCTGCAACTGGCATAATATGTCTCTGGATTTTCTTAAATATATAAAAGGGCCTCTTACTCCAATGGAATAAATAAATCTGTAATCTCCATAAAAGGATATTTTATAAGTTTGTTAGGCCTTCTTAAATCTTCCATAAAAAAATGAAATTCCTTCATAATACGTTTTCAAGGAAGCACTTGGGTCCTGCTTTTTCCTTTCGTTTGCTTAAACCCAGTCGTAATGCTTTCAAAATAGCATCCATGTTATTAAGGACATTATAGCAATTCAATTGTACTAGTCTGTCAAATTCATCAGCTGTGTAGGTAAAGTTAAATGTCCTGTATGGTGAATCTTTTCCTTCAATTTGAAAATCAGCAAAAGTCTTATCCTCTTCTGATTCACGTTCTATTCCTGTAAATAGAGGAGGGAAGAACATATATTCTGTGAGCCTTAAATATTAGTTTTTCTCTGAGAGGTGGCTATTCTCAGTGCTTAGATCTATCGCTCAATGTACAACCATGTTTACTCCAAGTGGAACAAGACAATGATGTGCCTGATAAAACCACAATACAAGTACACTTCATTTATAAAACACCCCTGTGAAATATCTCTTAACATCATTCTTTGTAAGGAAGCAATTTCCCTGTGTCCCATACGTGTTTCTGCTTTATAAAACAAATTTGTTCACAATGTTAAAAGGCATATGGGATAGATTCTGTATAATGTGCAAATACTGCTGCTTTTAGAACAGTCTTTCATCACCTCAGTTCCCCAAATACTGAACTAGGGTTTTATTTCCAATCAGCATAGGGAAGATGGGATCATGGGGGGGGGGGGCTGTAGTCCAATATCAACTGAACGCTAAAATTTGGAAAATGTTACTTTGGAACATCTCATTAATTAATTTAAAAAGGTAAATTATGTCATGTCTGACTCTAGGGGGCGGTGTTCATCTCCATTTCTTAACTGAGGGAGACAGCATTGTCCAAAGACGCTTCCATGATCATCTTCTATTCCAGTTTATTTCCTCATCCAAATAGACAGCTTTTGATGTTTTTGTACAACAAATCCAACATTTTGCTGTAATTGACAGCAAGATACATTAAAAATTTAAAGAATTCATACCTGGCATTTTATATTTACGGAATGTATCATTAACCAGAGGGAAATGAAGGACTATGGGAGCCTTTGGGTTCTCAGCATCCATAAACATATAACATTCCTTAGGACTTTCTTCATCTTCTTTATTAAAAATTATTTGTGGGAAAGGAATGTCTCGTTCTCTACAGTATTTTTCAGTTAACTCCAAGATCTATAGTCACAGAATTTTTAAGCAATCATTAGAGTTTTTTCCCATATCTGACCACAATACCAAGCTAATATCCACCAAAGAAATAATGAGACAGAATTTTTTGAAAGTACTTCAATGCACCTATTGATAACTATGTGTCTTTTTCACAATCACCTAGCTTCCAAAGTGATGATTTCAACAGTAATGACTGTCTATAAAGAGGACTCAACCAATATTATTCTCCTAAACTACAATATAACTAGAATATAAATTATTTTCTAAATAGCTCCTATAAATCTAAGCTAGAAAGGAAGCACAAAACAGCGGTACACAAAGCTCAACAGTTCTGAAGAATAATTTATACTAGAATAAAAGTAATCGTAAAAACTGAACATATTTTTCAAATCTGCAATATTCTTAATAAGTTTCATTAAACCATTATTATTATTATTATTATTATTATTACTACTACTACTACTACTACTACTACTACTACTACTACTACTACTACTACTACTACTACTACTACTTCTGTGTGGCATGCAGGTCCAGCATCCAGATTTTGTTTACATTAGCTTCTCCTGCTCAAATTTTAATATTATTTTTTTTGAGGGTAGAATTGAACAGGAAACACACTAGTGGCAATTTAATAATAATAATAGTAAAGTTGGAAGGGACCTTGGAGGTCATCTAGTCCAACCCCCTGCTCAGGCAGGAAACCCTATACCATTTCAGACAAATGGCTGTCCAGTCTCTTCTTAAAGACTTCCAGTGTTGGAGCATTCACCGCTTCTGGAGGCAGGTTGTTCCATTGGTTAATTGTTCTAACTGTCAGGAAGTTTCTCCTTAGTTCTAGGTTGCTTCTCTCCTTGATTAGTTTCCACCCGTTGCTTCTTGTCCTGCCTTCAGGCACCTTGGAAAATAGTTTGACTCCCTCTTCTTTGTGGCAGCCCCTGAGATATTGGAACACTGCTATCATGTCCCCCCTCATCCTTCTCTTCATTAAACTAGATATACCCAATTCCAGCAACCGTTCCTTATATGCTTTAGCCTCCAGTCCCCTAATCATCTTTGTTGCTCTTCTCTGTACTCTTTCTAGAGTCTCAACATCTTTTTTACATCGCAGTGACCAAAACTGGATGCAGTATTCCAAGTGTGGCCTTACTCCATATATTCCTATAAAGTATACTGAACTGGCTATATACATTTGTAGTATTACAAAGATATTTTATGCATCTGACTTGGCAGGAAGAATGGCTAAATTGTGGAACTAGACTTCAATGTCTAGAATACCTCTATATCGTAAAAGAAATCTAACACTGAATTTAATTTAATTTGGAAGCCATTTTTAGACTACTATTTAATATATTAATTTGTACCACATTCAAAATCTGGGTTCCTCTCCAGAAAAGTCTTAATATTTTGGTTTTATTCTTGTTGTTAGTTGCCGACCCATCGTGACCCCATTGACAATGTTGCTCCAATGTTCCTCCAGGTCTTCCTGTCCAGGTCTTCCTGTCCTCTACCATCTTCTGGAGTCCATTTAAGCTCACTCCTACTGCTTCAGTGACTCCATCCACCCATCCCATTCTCTGTCGTCCCATTCTTCTATTGCCCTCAATTTTTCCCAGCATTAGGCTCTTCTCCAGTGAGTCCTTCCTCCTCATTAGGTGGCCAAAATATTTGAGTTTCAACTTCAGGATCTGGCCTTCTAAAGAGCAGTCAGGGTTGATCTCCTCTAGGACTGACCAGTTTGAACGCCTTGCAGTCCAAGGGACTCGCAGGAGTCTTCTCCAGCACCATAGTTCAAAGGCCTCAATTCTTTGGTGCTCAGCCTTTCTTATGGTCTAACTTTCACATCCATACATTGCAACTGGGAAAACCATGGCCTTGACTATACGTACTTTTGTTGGCAGAGTGATGTCTCTGCTTTTTAGTATGCTGTCTAGATTTGCCATAGCTTTCCTCCCCAGGAGCAAGCGTCTTTTAATTTCTTGGCTGCAGTCCCCATCTGCGATGATCTTGGAGCCCAGGAAAATAAAATCTGTCACTACCTCCATTTCTTCCCCATCTATTTGCCACGAATTGAGAGGGCCGGATGCCATGATCTTGGTTTTCTTAATGTTGAGTTTCAAGCCAACTTTTGCACTTTCTTTCTTCACCCGCATCAAGAGGCTCTTTAGTTCCTCTTCACTTTCTGCCATTAGAGTGGTATCATCTGCATAACTTAGGTTGTTGATATTTCTCCCAGCAATCTTAATTCCAACTTTTGATTCATCTAGCCCTGCCTTTCTCATGATGTGCTCTGCATATAAGTTAAATAGGCAGAGCAACAGTATACAGCCTTGCCAGACTCCTTTCCCAATTTTGAACCAATCAGTGGTTACGTGTCCAGTTCTCACTGTTGCTTCTTGACCCGCATATAGGTTTCTCAAGAGACAAATAAGATAGTCTGATACTCCCATCTCTTTAAGAACTTGCCACAATTTGTTGTGATCCACACAATCAAAGGCTTTAGCATAGTCAATGAAGCAGAAGTAGATGTTTTTCTGGAACTCCCTAGCTTTCTCCATGATCCAGCATAGTTGGCAATTTGATCTCTAGTTCCTCTGCGAAATACTGCCTGTACTTCTGGTAGTTCTCGATCCACATACTGCTGGAGTCTAGCTTGTAGGATTTTAAGCATAACTTTACTTGCATGTGAAATGAGTGCAATGGTGCGATAGTTTGAACATTCTTTGGCATTGCCTTTCTTTGGAATTGGTATGTAAACTGACCTTTTCCAATCCTCTGGCCACTGTTGAGTTTTCCCCTTAAATTAGAAAATTAAACTAAAAGTATATTATAAATTGTATTTATTATAAAAAAGATTAAAATTAGTAGTATGGGCATAATTTATCATCCGTTGTTCCTGATTCTTGTATTATGATTACAGTTTAATAGTGATTTTCAGATTTTTAAAACAATAAACATGCTCATCCTATTCCCCCCAAATAAATGCAATTCAAAATGTTTAATACTTACTAACTTTAACCCAACTTAATATATGCATAAAATAAAATTAGCATCTTGAAGGAAGATGGTCTTTGAGATGAAGTACCTTGGGATGGATGTACATTGGAAACACAGAGACTAAAGCAAAGAACAATTCACTTTGTACTTATGAGTCTTACCTCAAATGGTGCTTCCCAAGAGTAATTAAATGATAAAATCACATCAACATCTCTTTCTGGCTGAATTAGCAATGGAAAGGGAGAATTTATAGAAAAGCCACCATCTACTAAGTAAAGATTCTCTTCCATCGGAGTCAACATGTTAGGAAAAGCATCTAAGTGTGTTTCTGAAAAAAAGAAATATACTTCATTCTTACCAATGAAATGGCACAAAAACTACAACCCTCTATATAATCAAAAATATTTTAGAACTGAATGAAAGTTATTTATATTGGAATGGGGTAACTGGCTAAATTTTAGATCTAATTATCTCATTAATAGGTTGATTTGCCTAATGTGCATGTATTTCGTATTTAATTTGAAAACCTTGTGTTATTTAGATTGCTCTCTTCCTCCCATTTATACACACATATCCCAAAACATAATTTTTACACCACAAACTGACGGAGGCTCACTAATCCAAAATTACCTTTTGAGATGACAAACTTTTTGAAACTGATATAATCTCTGTGGAGGTATAACCCTTGCATGAAATTAAATGTTTCACCAGCAGTTACACGAGACTTGAAGAAGTCCTGGAAAATCTGTAGTAAGGGTCCACCTGGTATAACCAGACGTGTCTTCAACCTCATAGGATCCCGGAAATGGAATCGTCGACTGTCATCTGCAATCGCGGACAATACTAAATATGGTTAAACAGTTCAAATCTACTTATTGAATCTACCCTGTGAGATATTAACAGCTTTGGAGTAATCAGGTATTTCAACTATTATGAACACTATTTACATTTTCTCGTCCTTTATAATGATTTTGGCGAGCAAATCATTTTCTGATCTCATCTGGACGTAGAAGCTTAGCAGACCCACTAAGCTTGGATCTGATTCCAAGACAGAAGCAAGACTAAAGGCTACTCTGGGATATAAAATCCATATTCCTGGATATTTTACAAACATTTACGCTGAGCTAATATTAAGATTTTTATGAGGGACTGCAACAACTGGATTTCAGCTGCATCATCCACATAAGCAGGGATCGGCAATTTCTGGGTTTATGAAGGCAACATCTTTCTCCAACCAGCTTAAGAGTTAGAATCAAATTTTCAACTTTTCGCCCCAAACACACACACACACACACACACACACACTTTGGCCAGTTCTAAAAAAAAAAACAGGAGTAAAAGTCCTCTGGCAGTTAAAATGGAAGTAAAAACATGACCCAAAATTATAACATCAAAATTTAAAAAAAAAAGTTCTCCTCAAAAATAGTGAAGAATACACAATGAAAATGTCACATTTCAACTATGTATTTGGGAGCATGGGGGGTGGTGAGGGATTTAGAAGCAAAAGGGTAGAAGAGGGAGCAGTTTTTCAAGAATGATATTAAATAAAGAGAAACAAAATTAACGGTTTCATCCAGCAGTTAAGGCACCAGGCTAGAAACCAGGAGTCCTATGGGAGTCCTGCCTTGGGTATGAAAGCCGGCTGGGTGCCTTTAGGCCAGTCACTCTTTCTCAGCCCACCTCATCTCACAGGGATGTTTTTGTGAGGGAAATAGGAGGAGGAAGGAAGGAGTATTAGGTATGGTCTTGAGATATTATTGTGTTGAATTATTTATAAAAATAATAAAGGTAGGATAAAAAAATAAATAGCTGTTAGAAAACAAACATGGGAGTAATTATTTAGAACAGTATTTCTGCTTTCAAAATCATAAGCCTAGAACTGCTTAGGTGGGAACAAGCGCCCTTTGGATTACTTGTTAGAAAGGAAGGGTTAGATATTTCATAGGCATATATGCCTCCACTCTGCTTGGATCATTCACATCAGCCCACGTCCATGGCAAAGTCATAGTTATGAAAACGTTCACATACCTAAAAATAAAATCTAGCATTACAGTGTTAATTAGTATGCAAATTGGCCTTGCTTACCAATTACTTTGATTACATCTCCCAATGTTTCCAGAAAGGTGAATCCTGAGCCAACTACCTTCAGAAAGACATCGTCCAGACTAGCAGCAAAGGCACTTCCCCACATCCCTATAGAGTACACAAAACAGGGTTTGAACCTAGGCATGTTATAAACGGTACTGTGAACTAGACTTTAATTTAATTTATGCATGCCCTTCTGTAGCCTTAAGAGTTAACAGGCAAGATTATTTCAGAGATAAACTAACAGAAAGATTAGAACACATTTGTTTTTCAGTAATTGACTTTAAAGATACTGTTAATGCCTGACACTGGATGTAACTAGTTGCTTGGTTAATTCATATTTACACTTCAAAAAAATGAAGATTACACTTTCTGTCTGAAATATGCTGTATTGTTCATCGGTTAAGAGATAGCAAAGTCTGCCAGTAGCTATTATTATTAAAAGTGAAACATTCAAGCTTTTTAAAAAGTGATATAAAGAATTAGGTTCAATCAGGACTTCCGGTTCCGGATTGCAGCATTTGCAGCCGTGAGAAGAGACTGCTCTCTTCGCCGGCTGATTTCCCTCTGCCAGTAGACCCTTAATCGGGTCGAAAAGCCGCCCTGAAGGGGCGGCTACCGTTGAAGAGGTCCTCGTCGACTGTGGGACAGCGGCAGCTTCTTCCACAGTCCGAGATTGCTCCTTAGGGCCGACAGAGGAAAGATCGGCCAGTAAAATGGCCGATCACTTTGCTGCTGTAACCAGAAGTCAGAAGAACATCTAAGTGCAAAGAACCACCGTGGTTGATCTGGGTGAGATTTTTCCTTTCCTCTCTTAGTCCTTTTTTTTCCTTTTGGTTTCCTGCAAAAAGCATATTTTTTTTTTGGAACTATTTCCCTGTTTTAAGAGAGCAGCGTATGCTAGTGAGGGAAGAAAAGCTGTGAAATGGAATGAAAATTGAATCTAATTGACTATTTTTTGACTTTCATCTACTTTGGGATCTTGAAAAGATTCTTACTATTGAACTTTATTACTGGACTCAGCATATATGCGAAAAATATTACTTTCTTTTTGTTTTTCTTTCTTTTTCTGACTTTGACAACCTTATCTTTGGTGTCTGGAAAGAGTATTTTACAGTCTACTGAGGACACCTTGTGGAGAAATGTAAAACTGTAACTGTCTTTGTTTTTTGTCTGGTGATGAGTTTGGCTTTGACCTTCAGATTATCATAAAGGAAAAGACAAAGAAACAACAGCTGTTTTGTGGGGGTGGACACTGGCTAAATGTTTTTAAAAGATAACAGGTCTGGTCCTAGTTACCATTAAAATGGAGAAATCTTATTTACATTTCAACTGTAAACTTATACTGGAGAAAATCTATGAAGCTACTGAGCAAATATGTTGCCAAATAAGAGAGAGTACTACAGAAATAATAAACAGAAATTCTATCTTGAACTTACAAACTGATTTTCAGATCTTATCTAAATATTCTACAGACCAAAAAACAATAAAAGAGGAACCAATCATCATTAAAGAGGATTCTATTTCATCTTATATACCACCTTTTGAGATTTTTGATGAACAAAAAATGATTGTAATTAAACCATCTATACTTTCAGAATTAAGAGAAATGGACTTGCAATTACAATTGATTAAGAACTATGACAATGTTGTTAACCAACTATTAACTACAAAATTGGTCAGGAGTGAGTCTCCTATTCAGCAGAGTCAAATGTTGAGACTTGAATCTTTAAAACAATAAGGGACTACCTACAAAGGACGCAGGCCTCTAAAACAGAAGAGGGGACATTCTTCCCTGATTCAAATGCTACCACAAGGAATAAAAAGAGACTTATTTGTTGACATAGAGGCTTTGTTATGGAAACCGGATTGGCATAAAAAGAAAGCTAGAATAAGATTTAAGAGTGTGATCTAAAATGGTATATAATGGGTTAAAGGCTTTTTAGACACGGATTGACTTAAAGTTTAAGTTTGGCAAATAAAATACCAGAGATTATGATTGAAGAAAGACTAATTAAATGTGAAGTTAGCGAAAAGATGTTTGCTTTTTGTACTAATATGTGCATGGGGGATATAACAATAATTTGGATTGGATTTAAATGTTATTGAATGGGTTAAAAAAGTATTATATAGATTTTGATTGATTGATAGATTATAGATTTAAAATAGATTAGAAATGTATTGTTTGGAGCAATATTTTTGTTTTCTAGGAAGGAAAGCTATTTTGTAAAGCAAGAGGAATAAGAGGGATTTTTGATAAAAGAAGAAATGATATTAATAAATGAATTACTGATTATGTTAAAGAAAAGGGAAAGGAAAGACACCTGAAGTGTTAATAATATGATTATCTAAGCCAAATGGGAATATGGTAACTGTAAACAGTAAAGCTCAATACAGGATTTTGATTTATATAAATGAAATGCTATTGATGATTGTTTGGATTGATTGAATTATATTGAAAAACATATTAATTTGAATACAATATATTATTTGAGGGAACAGAGAGGGAGTCTTTAATGAGTTAATTTGAATTACATATGTATGATTTTGTTTTGGCATAACTGATTACCCTGTCACCACGTTGTTTCTCAAGCATTTGGTTGTAAAAAGAAAAACTAATAAAACTTGTATTATAAAAAAAAGAATTAGGTTCAATCTGAGATTTACCTCTGACAGCTGTATAATTTTAATACCTTTCCTCAATTTCATTCTCCAAATGTTGGAATTACAACTCTCATCATCTTCACATATTGGATTTTGTTTTGTTTAATAAAGGACAGCTTTAAAATCAAATAAGAAATACTTTGTGCAAGTTTCACTAGTGCGTGAGATGAAACTTTTACTTCAAATAAATTGTTTTTATTCTCAAATACAGCATCTATTTACCATTCGGGCCATTAGAAACATGTGGCTTTTGTTGTGCTGTTATAAAACAATGTGGAATGTAAAAAATGCTTGCTGGTTTGTTTGAATTTAGCAGGGTGGATGAAGGTTCATTTATAATAGCTTCTAAAGTGCTAAAAGTATTCAGAGGCTATAGATGGAATGAGTTCAGCCTTCAGATTTTAATATCATGCTATTTCCACACACTATACTAGCCCATGGTTTATTTATGTATTTGCCTTTGGATTAAGTACAACAAGCTTTGAAATACATACCCTGCAAATAGCAGATCCTGGGCTCAGGATGCTTCTTAATCAATCGTCCCATGAAAAACTCACTATCAAAATCTTCTGTTCGAATAAAAGCACCATATTTGCGGAATCCAACTTCATAGGGTGTGAACTCACACCATTCTAAAAAGAAAAACACCCAGCATAGTGAAAACATTAAGCAAAATCACTGTGTTCCAATTCAAGTGAAAAGTCCAGTCTTTACATTCACATGATCATTAGAATAAAGACTATACAACAAGGCCACTCTGCAATATTGTGCAACTGCTATAAAAGTGCTAATTCTAAAGACATCCTAGAAGATAAAATCTGTCCCGGGTTTTATAAGAAAGAAATACACCTGCCTTATTATACCTGCAAAGTCATCACCACGAACATTGGGCCTCACATTAACAGCTGCGTAGATTGGGTAGGGATTCTGCCCATATTTCACAGCTTCCTGTTGGTCAGACAATTTTGACTGGTCTTCCTAAACAAAAAAATGAATCACAGGATATATCATTTTTGAAGTGAAATTAGAGCTCATACCTTATGGATATATATTAGACACATGTCTATGGAGATTCTCAGTCATCCAGATCATGGTTATCCCAAAGTGGTTTTTCAAGAGGCAACTGGACTTTCTTGTTTTTCTTTGAAGATGTTTGGCTTCCCTGTCCAAGAAGCTTCTTCAGCTCTGTGCATAGATAAATGTCTATGGAGATTCTCAGTCATCCAGGTCATGATCCCAAAGGTGCTTTTCAAGCGGCAATTGGTGACCTTGAGGACACAGATAAACCTCCAAGTGGCCTCAATAATTCTCTAAAAGAATGCAAATGACCAGCCGTCTGCAAGGAATATAAATCCTTCCATTCCCCACCACCCAATCAGAGCTGAAAAAGTTCCTTGGATGAGAAGTGAAATGTCTTCAAAGAAAAACAAGAAAGTCCAGTTGCCTCTTGAAAAAGCACCTTTGGGATATATTAGACACCTACAATCTCAATGAGAGAACAAGACACACCCAATACAGTATGTTCCTCCTGATTAGATGGCTATTGTCAAGCATAAAAGATCAGGTCCACACATGAAGGTCCAGTTAAAGTAATTTATTACTAATCATGGCTATGAACAGGACTCTTTTCAACTAATGGTCAACACTTGTTTGGATTTAAATATCTGAAGATTTAGGCTTTGCAATATTCTCTGCATTTATATGTAAAGCAGAAAAATGCGTCTAATGAAAATCTGCACTTTTTCAACAGGCAGTTCTCAACAAGAAAGCTTGTTTCACCTTTCTTGTTTTATCCTCTTTGGGCATGTAGTGACAATATCTTGCCTCAAAAGAAGAAACACACTCCAAGGCAAAAGCTGTTTTTTTTCATATTCATGTTCTATATCCTGCCTTCAATCATTTAAATATTCAATTCAGAATTGGACTGATATTTGAGATTAGTACTTTTACAATAAGCAGTTACTAGAATTTCTGTTTGTTTTAGAATTTCAAAGAGAAAAGAGTATTAGTATGGTTCAAGCAGGAACAAATATGAAGGAATTTACAACACTAAGTTCTCTAAGACAGGGCTTTTCAACCTTTTCATCCATTGTACCACTTTTAGGATATGGCAACATCCGAGTACCACCAGTCGCCTAGCAAGGTGTCAAAAACTTGATGACCAAAAAAAAAAAAAGGAAAAAAGTGATACAGTACAGGTAGTCCTCGACTTACAACAGTTCGCTTAGTGACTGTTCGAAGTTACAATGGCACTGAAAAAAGTGTCCCCCAAGCCACAGCTGAGCAAGACACCTGCCTGCCCACCCGGCCGCGCTCTTCCTCCTGTCCGAGGTTTTCATTGTTGTGAGCATTTCTGTTGAGGATTGGCAGTGGGGGTGGGGTGGGGGGGTGTTTGGTTTTTATTCCCCCCTCTGCTGGGTGGTTGCAGCAGGTTTTGGTCACTTCATATGACCCTGGGACACTATGACCGTCATAAATATGAATCAGTTGCCAAGCATCTGAATATAAATCACAAGACCCTGGAGATGCTGCAACATTCCAGCTGATCGGCGCTTCTTCTGGGCTCAGCAGAAGCACCAGGATCAGCACCGAGCTCTAGCTGGAGCCTGGCGCTGATCCTGGCACTTCCACTGAGTCCTGACAGCCCCGAAGAAGCGCTAATCAGCTGGAAAGCGGCACTGATCCTGGCGCTTCCGCTGAGCCCTGACAGCCCTGCAGCTCCAGTCATCTCTCCCTCAGGCTTGTGCGGTGCTGCCACCGGTTCAGCTCATTCCCCTCCCCTGCTACCACTTTTCTAGGATGGTCACGTACCACTTGCCAGGTGCCAATGTACCACAGATGGTACCCGTACCACTGGTTGAAAAGCCCTGCAGTCTAAGAAGGTAAATAATAAAGATTCCAAATTTACAAGTCTCACCTTCTGTTGCAGGAAGTACTCAATAATAAGACCCCACAGATCGGTGAAAGATACTTTCCGCCCAGCATTTTCCATAGCATTCAGTTCCTGGAAATAGTACTTCATATGTTCTGAGGAGAAAGCTGCTACTTTGCTGCTGGATATTTTATCCTGCGCATTGCTGATTGGATCCTTGAGGTCCTTCTGTGACCATTCATGGTCTTGATACAATACTGATAAACACCTACAAAAATGTTGATAACTGATTCAGTATAACAGCATTGAGCTTAACTATTTAATAGATAAAAATAGAAATCCTGGAGAGATACAAATGTTCTTCTTTAAAAAAAAAAACTTGTGAAGAATAATGTCCAAGCTGGAAAAACTACTCTTAAGATTCTTAAGAGGAAATAAAATTAATCCAGACAACTATTTTAACTTTTTGTTGGTATACCTATACTTGCTTTGTTTACTATTGAGCTTCTGAAAAACTGTGACATCTCAGACTCAATTTTTACTATACTTTAAAACAATGTCCTTGCCAGGTCTTGTGTACGTTTGATGTTAAGGGATTTTTTTATTTTGATTCAGGTCTTTAGCATTAGATGGGTACAGTCTGAAACACTGCAGGAAAATGATTTAAGTATAGCTGAAAACCTGTTTCCCAAGTCCAAAACTTCTCATAAGGGGGGGGGGGGGAATCCTCATGTCTTATTGTAGCAATGAAACTCTTTAGAAGGGTGAGTATTAACCCAAAGGTTATACATTTTTTGTTTTATTTGAGTTATTTATACAAGAAACAATTTTTCTTGTTTTCTATTTTCTGAATAATAGACAACAATCATGTTTACCTGTTCAGTGGTAAATTGATAGGGCTACAAGACCAAAGATGAACAGGTGAGCCTTGTTTTAGACCAGTGCATGGCATGCACCATTTCAAGGCAAGGTGATAGTTAAACAATTTCATGGGTCTTTTCATCAACCTCTAATTAAATGCTAACCAATCATATTCTACAGTTGTATTAAGAAAAAAATAGGCTAAGAAAGGCTAAAATGAGCTTGACCGCATTATATATTAATGACAGACCTGGGCATTTTACAGCTTGCAGGCAATCCCAGTCTGGCCCATGGATCGCTGAAAGCAATGGTAGTAGTGACAGGGGCAGGACAGCAGAGGCGGTGGGATATGTCAGCAGAGGCAGTGGGACATAGGGGTGGTGGGGGCGAGGTGGCAGAAGCGGCAACAGTGGGAGCAGGGCAGCAGTAGCAGCCCTCCAGATCAGTCACAGATTATCATGTGGCCCTTTGGGAAAATTAATTGCCCATCCCTGATTGATGCCATTTATGGGCTGTTCCAGTCATGCAATCTGGCATATGTATGGGCACCATATTATCTGTCATACCATTGGCCTCCAAAATGAGAAAATAAAAATAGAAGAATCACTGGAGAATAACCAAATTTTGAAAAATCTGCTTTTTTCAAAAGATCTCATAGAGTTGTAAATAGGTAAGGCATAAAAACAAAGAAAATTAATAACTTTTCTAGATCCAAGGAGAGGTAGACAGTGCATATAAAGGCCCAGAACTGTGCAATCCAAAAGAGCATATCCAAACAATAGTTAGACAAGAAAAGGAACATTATTATTGTAAGAATCTACGTTTTTGGCTAATTATGTACTTGTTGAAGCAATAGAATAAAACATGAATTTAGCAAATGCTCCAAAGATCAAAACAATATCTTGTTACTATAGTTTCAATATAAGAAATACCTACCATAGATACATACCATGTAGAACCAGAAATTCCAGAAAGATATGTAATAGAATCCAGAAGATTTAGCTGCTGTAGACCAAGCAAACTTCCATAAAATGATGAAAGTGCTCTTATCCCTCCCCCAGATCCTAGGACTGCTACAACAGGCACCTTAAGAAAAAACAAGAGGGGAGAATGCTTAAATTGTTATGAAAAAAAGTCAATGAGGACACCCCTTATTAAAATACTGTGATAGTATATTTGAAGAACTTTTATAAAACGTAGTATTTTTGAGAGTCAATGTCTCACTTAAACTATGTCTAATTATAAATGAGTATACATACTTCACTAATTCCGATTAAGTGACATACCTCATTATTACTGAGGTCCTCTCTCAATTTGAGTATGCTCTTTAGTGCCTTAGATAAGATTTTCTTTCTTTTTTCCAAAAATTCTCGCTCTTCTTTACAGAGATCAAAACCAAGACGTACATCAAGATCTTGTGTGCTGGTTTAGAGAATAGTGTTGAAAAGAGGCAAGGAAATGAGAATGTGTATTTGAAAAGTTTCATATTCCATGCAGTACCACTGGAGAAAAATCTGTCAATTATTTCTCAATTCAGAAAATGGGAAAGTCATAAATAAAGATTCCTGTTCCTAAATCCAGCTGATATACAATAGTGAACTGAATCAAGCAATAGTCTGCTTTTATACACTCCAATCCAGATCAGATGAAGTCATATGAAAATTTTTAATTTACTAATAAAAGAACATCAGTAACAAATATTCCAAGTAACAGCAACACACATATATTTCCAATATATTGCAATATGTCATTCTAACTTTAAAAAATTGGGACTGAATCATGGACAAAACTATAAGAAATAAGATTCCATTTTGGATAAGATTCTTAATCAGCAGGTGTAAGTAATAAAAGGGAAATAAATTTTGTTGTTAATTCGTAGAAGACAAAAACCCAAAGGCCTAGTTTAAAAATCCTAAAATTAATCATGGCCATGTTCAAAAGGGGGGGGGAACAAAGTGAAAAGCACATAGACAGGACATTAGACTGAGAGAGAGAGAAAAGACTGAAGAGGGAAAGGATATCCATTTGTCTATTGAACTATTTATCGATCTTGAGGAAAATATATTTATCTGACAAGCAAAGAAGTGACATTGGGAGATTTTGTTGCAAAATCTTTAATGTTCAGTTTCAACACAAATGCAAGTAGTAGTAGTAGTAGTAGTAGTAGTAGTAGTAGTAGTAGTATTTGAATGTCACTTGACTCCTAGTGACCTTTCTTTGACTTACAGGTATAAATAGAAAAAAATTAAAATGAAGTCCCAGAGCAATATACAAGGAAAGTTTGTAAGCCCAAGCCAGTCCCCATCTGCAAAGAAGGATTCACTCACATTTCTTCAGCTTTCACCTTTATATCCACACTTAGTCCCTAAAAGGAAAAACAAAATATTCTGAAAGAGGTTACAAGAGAAAAAAAACACTGATTCAGTAATTAATTTTACAAAAGACCTTGTTGACCTGGCTTTCCCCCAGAGGCTGGGCCAAAATGCCAACAAACCTCAGCTTGTGTATGCTTTATGCTGTTGGATATTTTTTTTTTTTTAAAAAAAAACCTTTTTATTGATTTTTGACTGTTCACTATGTCTTTTTTCCCGTTCCTGTTCACCATCCAGAATATATTGGTTAAGGGGGAAAGTCACATAAATTTGATAAATGAATAAATAAATGAATTGCTGACTAGGTGATGCAATCTATGAAATATTTTACAGTAGAAAAAAAATGTTACCTTTCCAAGTGGCACAGTTATATCAACTTCCTTTCCCAGAGGTAGTAAATTCAAAGGAATATTCCCTGATCCAAGAACAGTACTGTGTTCTTCCAATTCAGGACTCACTCCGTCCTGAAAACAGACACAGCTTATTTCATATGGAAAGCATATTTGTAAGCATCGTAAAAGCTGAATGTGCAATCCATTCCTCACCTGAAGGACTGTAATAGTTCTTTCCAGCTCCACACTCAGTTCTGGGCACATCTGTTTGCCTATGTGAAAGACAAATGGGGTCCCACCGGCCTGATCGGGGTTTGACTTGCATGGCTCACTTAACTGTTTCTCATAAGATCCAGGAAGTGAAAGCCTGAACTGACTGCTTTCTAAAAGGATAGTAAGAATTTAGAATATATATATATATATATATATCTAAGAATTTCTAGGGAGGAGCTATTTTGACTCTCTCTCAACCAAACTATCTCAACTTTGCGTCTATTGGTCCTCTGGAATGCAGTCCCTCTCTCCTGGGAATCCAGACTACATTCCACCACAAAGATAGACTATAAACAGGAGGGAATCCAAAGAAGGAAGAGAAAAATGGCACAGTTTTACTGTATATTGTATAGCTGATTTTAACCTCTGCTTAATTGACCATAGAATCATAGATGTATGCGTGGAAAGAGACCTTGGAGATCACCTAGTCTAACATTCTGTCCAATGTCTACACTAATTAATACACATCCCTGACACATCATTCAGCCTCTGTTTAAACATTTCCACTGAAAGTGGAATAGGTGTGCAATCACTTGAGGCAGCATTTTCAACTGGGATTCAACAAGAGGTGATTAGGAGATCTGTGAGATTGGAATTGGGGGAAAAAAAATTTGAACTTCACACAATGCTAGCACTCACAATGCTGGGAATTTTTACATGCCACAACTCAGCTGCTGGCCTGCCACTTTGCAGTTCTTGTAATTTCATTTTATTTTTTACATTCTACAGTAGGTAAGAATTGTATTGCGAAGTATTCATATTTTTTTGCAATTTTATGCAATTTTTGCTGTGACCTGAATATTATTCCAAGTGTACCTGCAGGGTAAAAAGTTTGAGAAAGGCTTCCTGAGGCACCATGTTACATTATGCAGAACATTAATTCATATGATATATAACTGACAATTTATTAAATTGAAATGTTCATTGTGTTTGAATTAAAGAAACAACATTTAAATTTAATTAAATGTGGAAGCTAATTCTGTTAACTAACTTTTCTTTCTAAGAGTATTATAGTCAAGAAAAAATAGCATCACATAAATTTTGAGATTTTCTCTAACATAAATGGATTATCATCTCTCTTCCATGTTTATATAGCATTTCATTAATTCCTAAATGGTGGAGGAGGGGGAATACATCACCTGGAAAGGGAAGAAAATCCCTGAAGAAGACCACACACCCATGAAAAATAAAATATCAAAATAAGATTATCTCTGTCTTATAGATTGGGGGAAGAGCGACATGATGCAAATTTTAGGGAAGAAATTCATGCAGACTCACCCAGTTATATCATACATATAAAGAGAAGAAGCCCACCAAAACAAACATAACTTTGATTCAAAAGAAAATTTCACATATCCACAAAACTAACTGAGCACAAGTTGTTTTCTCTTTCTTACACATACTTCTAATTTTCATTCATTCACACCCCTGCCTTCTTTTAGTCTGAGAAAACTATGTAACCAATAAAATTATATTTCATTTGGTCTGATTTCACTGTTCTTTTTTAGAATCACCTCACTTGAATTTCACTTCATTTAAAGTGCTGCACGTCTATTAATTCACTAAGTTCCTAGATACAAGCAGAGTAATGAATTATCCATCATAAAATTATGACAAAAGAGAAAACATAACAAAATAGACCGACCTTGTTCTCTCATCTTTGTATTCTGATCATTGTTAATTGTCCCTTGCAAGTAAAGGCAAGGATAAGCCTATATGGAGAGAAATAATCAGAAATAAATATGGGTTTTGGAAACTGGATCTCCATTCGATTAAGTTCTAGAATAGTTAATGCAGAAAAAAATAGTTTGAATTGTCATGCTTGGGAATGTAAAGTATGGTATGTGTGGTTTTTCCAATGGCTAGCTAATTAATTATATTTAAAGATCATTTAAAATAGTGTATACTGTTCTCATGTTTTTTGCACTTCAAAAAAATATATAGCTATCAGGCATAGGTAACACAATGCAATGTCTTGCATTTGGAAAAAGCCTACTAAAATAACATTCACCTCAGAGAAAGGGATATTTACTTCTGTATCTGTATGAAGTATAAGTCTATTTGTTGGAAAACTCATTTATAGAGCAATAGTTTTCACCTTGTGTTTTGTGGCAACTGAGTTTGTTGAGCAGTTTAATCAGGTTGCCATTCTAAGTGAACTGACTATTCAAATAAATCATGTCCCAGAATTTTTTATTAGTACAGAAGTTTTCTAGAACAGACAAGTCAATCTAGAAGAGGTTATATGAAGATATAAAATAATTGGAGAAGATTTTTGTGATCAATTTAATAGTCTGCGATGCTTTATTAAAATTACAAGTTTTGCTTTGCTGATGACAATAAATATTCTTACTATGAATTTTATACATTTATACATTTCAGATTTTAATAGCGGCAGCAGATGAAAAATGCTTTGAATTTGAGAAATATTCTACTGTCAAGACTACAAGCTCTAACTTTACAATGCCACAATAAATGATAATTATAAAGTAGGCACTACTCCAATTTATTAAATACTCACCACCAGGACTCCATTTGTGATAATTTCACCAGGAGGATCAGAACTATGAATACAAAAGTATTACCATGAATAGCAACAAAATATTTTATGTTAATTATTCTCTTTCTTTTTGAGCTCTTTAATTTATATCTCAAGATTGCGATAGTTGTTTCCCATGAATGATAACTCCATTAAGTCCTAGTCAGCATACATGACACATTGTAGTCCAAAATTCTAGTCCTTCATTTCCTACAGTTGTTTTGCCATTAACATTTTTTTAAAAAATTACAGATCCTGCATATTGAGGACCAGCACAAATGAAACCTTAAGACTGTTTTCAATGAATGGACCAATCATCTATTTACTTCTCCTCCAGAAAAAATAACATGGGGTGGGGGGAGACCCACAAGTCTCAATAGCAATCATATGCCATTTGCAAGCAATTAAGATATTTATTTTTGCCTCCAAAGAGGAAGGAACTGTAATATTATTTTTTTTCCATTCTTTCCACAGACAAAGTTTTATCTGAAGAGGCAACATCAAGGTATTGTTCATAAGCATTTGTGTCCTATTATTTTACTTTGGCAAACACTGATTTTTAACTATGCCTGCATAGATCAGGCAGGATTTGCTTCAGCAATCTTTTTTTTTGGCAAAGATCAAAACAAACCCAATTTGTTTCAACAAGGTTCTTTAGTTTGATAACAGCAGCTTCTTCTGCACAGAAACTATTCCTATCCAATAAAGCAACACATCTGTCTTTCTGTTTACAAGTGTGGCATCACTTCACAATTCTGTTTTATAAAGGTTGTGTGCTTAAACACCTTTTGGGGATGAAGGAAAACCATAGGAGACTTGAAAAACCTCAAAATACATTAGTCCTATTAATCTTTTAGATGCAAGTCTTAAATGAATTTATTAGAGGACTTCCCAATCTAGAACTCTAGATTATGTGACTGGAAAATACAACAGTCCTTACCTTTTCTCCATAAAAAATTCTACATCCAATTCTTCCTTATCCTGGAGATAAACAGGTATTAAATTAATATATTATCTGTGAGCATTAGTATTATTATTATTACATTAAAATTAAGGACTAGACATAATTCAGAACACATTTGTATAATTTTCACAGGCTGCTCTGATCCAAACATTACAATAAATTTGACAAAATAAGGTTTCAGTAAAAAACATTCCAGCAGAAGTTTCATTTGTCTGCCAAATATATTGTATATCATCAATTGCAAAGTTAATAAAAAAAAGTGCAAATGAACTTTACATAATAAAGAAGATGTTGTTTCCAGCTTTATATTCCTTAAAAATTAAGTCAATCCAAGAGCTACCAACAATAGAGAAATTAGAAAAAAATCTGTAGGGCTGCATAATTTTCAAATAATGCAAATGAACATCCAAATTGAGAGATCCCATTTGGTTCTTCAAGCATCAAAACTCATCAAAAATTACATTATTCAGCTATAGATTGTTCCCTGCAACAGGAGGAAGACAGTTAATGTAATGATTAAAATATTCTTTATTTATGGCTAATGTAAGTATTCAGAAGCAAAATCAAGTTTAAACCTGACTTCTTAATGCATGGAGCAACAGAAAAAAACTAACTTCTTTTAGCTTGAAAGTGTTTTTCAGTGAATGGCCGGCCTGAATCCCTGTAACATCAAACACGACAGAAGTAAGCTCATCATTTATAAGAACATCTTCATCAAACAGAGTCAGTTCAAGCGTGTTCTAAAAAAAAACAGGAAAAAGACAAAAGCTAACAAGTAGAGAAAGAATTAAGTACAGTATGATGCTCCAGGAAACAAAAGTAAAATGTTTTGTTTTTAAAATATACGAATTGCCAGTTTTACTTAATCCATTATAGCTTTGGGCTTTTTAACAGAAAAGATTTCAATATGCCATTCCACTCCACAGACACAGAATTTGATAAGTAGGAGTGGATAAAAATAAGAAAATAATTAAATCATAATTGTTGCACTTCTGCACTGCAGGTCATACTTAAAAGTAGGCAAGCATTCCTATATTAACTGTATGGCAAGTTGATTATCTGCAGTAAGGTATGTTTAAAGAGATGAACTAGGCAAGTCATTCTTTGGAAAGCTTTTTGTTTTTTCTGGTTTGTAGCAAAAATTGAAGTTTTTTGTTAGCTTATTTTATCATGATAGACTATGATGCTATCAGAATGTGAACTTAAATGTGTGTTAAATAACTTTTCTGTTAATTTTTTTTTCTAAAAGACACACAATTCTTCTCCTTTGTTTAATTCTAGGTAGTTTGGCACTTATGTAAAGTGGCTTTGCACTTATGTAAGGTGGTTTTGTACTTGGACTTAGATGAAAGAAGAAATCATTAGGCAAATAGAAGACACAGCAAGGTCTGCCTAGTTTTACAGACAGTATAATAAAAACTAGCTACCTTCAGAAAAACTGAATCATACTGACCTGACAATAAAAATACATTGAGTATAGTCTAATGCTGGATAAAAACACGTAATAAAATTAATTATAAAAGATTATTAAAAAGATCTAAAATGTTTATTTATGTTTCTGGCGAATCCCCAATGCTGCTGCACAGAATCTAGCCACCTGTGCCGTGATCACTGCCTGCTCATCCTTAAGCAGCCACTGGAGATAAATACTTTCCAAACGACCAGGATACCTATCAATTATGGGGAGGATATGGTTTTTCTGAATAGCTCTATAGAAGGAACATCGAAGGAGTATGTGTCCAATGGTCTCCACCTGAGCCACAGGAGCAGAGTCTTTCAGCCAATGGTGTCTTTTTATATTTGCCGTACAGGACGGCCAATGGAAACGCATGGCACCATGCAAGCGAGAATGCTTTCTGGTGGTTTACTAACTCCAACTGACTAAGATACCTGGCAGGTGTAACCACGTATCTAATAGAGTCTAGAGCCAGAAATAGCGGAGCTATACCTAAGTCCACTTGCCTCTCGATGTCCTCTACCCTTTGATGCAAGGTTTGTTTTGCTTAGTCGTTGTCCAATTTGAGAATTGAGGCTGACGAGAAGCATTAGGCAAATAAGAGATTGCAAAATAGTGTGTGTAACACAGGATTAATTTTGCCAGGATAAACAGGCAAAATTCTGATTCTGATTCTCTTTCTTCTGATTTTAAGAACAGCTCTGACCTGTTAAGACTGTCTGACTTAGTTATAATAATTCATGACAGGCACCAAGAGTAACTTTGTAGCAGAAAAATGAATGTGAGAAACAGTCATAAGAGGACCATAATCAGAGGAGCGTATTGGAGGTTACTAACATATGATTTGCTATTAGGACTTTTTGGGTTTCCAAAAATATAAGTTTTTTCCTTCTACTTATTGTTCCATTTCAAGAGTGGAATCCTTTACTTTGACTGCGTCGTGTATCCTGTACTGAAAAGTTTCATTCCATTCCGGATTGCTGGAGTTGTCAATAACTCGAGTTTGATAAACAACAGGTGATGCAGTTGGCAGACGCAATTCCACGTAACAGTCAGCTTTGGACACTAAATGGAAAGAACAGATATGGGCAGGATTGTTAAATTAGGAAAGTCATCCACTTTTACATTTGGTCCTTCCTAACTTGTACAGTCTAAAAGTATAGTTGAAAACTGATAACTTTTCAAATCCCATTTTAAATAACTTGCAGCCACATTCTATTCGTGAATGATGCTTAAGTAGATGGTGATTCAATTCTCATTAATTTCTATATCACACTTTCTGGATTTTGTTCAATTTAGATGAAAGTTTCGTTTTCAAATCATGTAAGATTATGTTTTTCTGGAGCTAGAAAAGGAGAGAACTGTAATCTGCTGCTTCTAGTGGACCTTTCAAAAGTTTTAAATGCATCTTATTTTCCTCTTCAGCTGTATTCTGACATTTGAAAATAATTCTCCTTAAATAAGCATTGATTATATTAATTTTATTTACTCGCTCATAATTTTAGTTCCCTGCTTTTGCTACTGCTTTTCATTAGTATTAAACTTGTTTTTATGCTTTCTGTATATTCTAGGCCACAGTGAGATGAAGTATTTTCTTAAGATTTAAAATGTATTCTTTGAAATTCTCATTGTTAGTAATCAAATACAAATATCTTCTGATACTGCGACTCTACTGTTACAGAAAAAATACTTCTAATTATCATTTATTCACCATGACATACTGAGCATCAGAAAAAGGCATATTTAAGTAATCAAACTTACATAAAGCACATTTACATTTTTTTTCTGTTTTTTTACCTATTCCCTTTATTCTGTATTTAGGTACATGTTTGGAATATTTAATTGTCAGATTATTCTTACAGGAAAGGGCATAGCTTAAAAATGTTTTAAAAAAAGTATACAATGTGTGAACATCCTAAAAGAAAAGAAACACCATAGCCAGCCCCCTCAACATTATTAGGAAAAAGAATTCTCTGTATAAGGGACAGGACTTCCACTTCTTTCTGAAAGGTAAAGATAAAGATAGCTTTGAGCCAGGCTGACTCTTGGTGATTACACCATATTCAAGTTCCAGACTAAATTTAGGGGAGAATAACCATGCTTAATCCTGTACAAGGTATCCAATGTCCTTTATGTTCAACCAATTCTCAGACTACAAATGCTTTCCTATTCCCATACTATACTTCAGATCATACGCCAAAAGAAAGCTTTCAGAGCAAATATAGACTATCAAACAAACAAACAGAGAGCCAGTTAAGGAAACTGGGAGACTGTGAGTTCTAATCCTGCCTTAGCCACAAAGCCAGCTAGGTGAATTTGGGCCAGTCACTTTTGCAGACAATTAGCAGGAATTTAAAAACTGATTCAAAGACACACACACACACACACACACATAGGGCAAATATGGAACACCTCTTAATCCTTCTTAAAAAAAGCTTTGCCTTTTCCTGAGGTCACACAACAGCTGTGAAATCCCAGGAAAATACTTATCCCTTACTATTAGTTATGACTAGGACTACTGATTTAAGGAACTGTTCATCACCAATCAGTTGGTTTTCTACTACATGTATTATAAAGGTGCATCCAAATGAGAAACCAAACATCTCCAGATACTTACATAAATCTGTTCCTTTAATGTTCCTGGCTCTGAGGACTTTTACAGTGAGATTGTAATAAGGCTGCTTTTCACGCTGCAAAAATAATTCATCCAAATATTAACATGCAAGGGCTGCTATATCTGGTGATCTTAATTATCTTAATGACCTCTCCGTAGAAAATAACACACATAGCTGTACATGCAATATCAACCCCTTGCTATTTTTACCGAATACCCTCAGAAGTTTAAACTCATGCTGAGCAGAAATAGATCAAGTGTGTACATATCCTTCAAAGGTTTCTAAAATCCAGTTATTTAAATTCCCAGGCAAGGAAATCTATATGGTATATAATAGCCATGAACATTTACTTTCCTGTCACTAAATCTATTTATATTTTCCCATAACTGTTTTAATTCTCTCAAGAATTTGCTGCAGCAGGTAACGATATCTTGCCAGATTTAAGTAATCCCCTCCACCCCCATAAAGATAAGAATAGTTGGATCACATTGATATCAGGATGGGAGAATTTGAAACTAGACAGGAACATTGAAAAAGTCAGTGGCAAACCAGTCCTATATTGCTGTTAAGAAAACTTCAAGGATACTTCCATTCATACAATCGTTGAAAGTCAATCCCAAGCTAAAGAACACTTTGCCATTTATATATTGTTTAGTGAATCATAATGAAAGTTATGATTAGTCAACCATTTTACCGAAACAAAACTGAACGCTACCAGATACGGTAGAAGGAAATCTTCCTATTGTTTTTGTAAAGTTTTTATGATCCTGGGCAAGGTCTGAAAAAAGGTAAGCCTCCTTACCCCAATTTGATGTCTCAATTTCATTCCTTTTATTGGGAATACCAAATACACCAGGGGCCCCTTTTGGTGTCAGCCCATCCACTGAGAAGAATAGTGATGACCCTGGCCAAACTGGCAGGCCAGCAGCAATTTATGATGGAATCTGCCTTAAAAACTATTGGTTAGTAGTAGCTTTCATTGAAGTCAGCATAAAAAGAAAGAAATTTGTACTGACCATTATGAATTATGAAGGATTATGAAGCTACCCAATTTATCTAAGAAAAACTGTGCTGGATACATAATGAAGTATTCACAGTACACCGGTTATAAATATGAACAAGTGGTGCTGTAGGAAGACTCCAAGCCAGGTTTGGACACGCTGACTTCAACAGCAGTCATCATATGCAACTTGTATCAGATGTAATTCTTCAGAAGTATTTCTAAATTCTAAAGATGCAATCTTTAGATATAAAGGTTACACCTTTAGAATGTTTGCTTCTAAAGATGTGATCTTTAGCAGCAAACAAAACCTGATCAACTAAAGAAGCAGCCAATCTCTTTGGGGTGAAGAGTCACTCACCTAAAATGGGGAGTGGGATTAGCCCAATTTCTTTTTTTTCTTTTTTTTAATTTTATTTATAATACAATTTTAAAAAAAACATTGGATTTAACGTGACATTCCAGTATATACATTCTTATCAGATTATTCCACATTTTACAATCAATTCTTCATCTCTACATATACATCTAAGTTTTATATACAATACTTATTCTAAAATAACATATATTTCTATCTTAACATTCGTCTTTAATCCCAACCGTCCTCTTCGAATTCCTTAGCCCAATTTCTTCAAGGCTCAAACCTCGGCTAAGATAAAGGTGAGTTCGAAGCCGACTGCGTTATAATCCATTCTCCCATATTATTATTATTATTATTATTATTATTATTATTATTATTATTATTATTATTATTATTATTATTATTAATAATAATAATAATAATAATAATAATAATAATAATAATAATAATAATAATAATAATAATAATAATAATAATAATAATAATAAATAAATAAAACCTTTGCTTGCACCTAAACCTAAAGGCTGATTGCCTTTCCCTCAGGCTACCTCAGTTTCATGCGCTTCCTTCGATTAAAATAAAATGAAGGCTTTCGGTGAGGGGGGGGGAAACAAGGAAGAAGATTGACGCGGCCGCCAACTTCTTACGCCCGTGCGGACTTCTGCTTGGGAAAAGCTGCCCGTCGCATCACAGCCCACATTACCCGCCAGTGGTAGAGGCCAGTGTCTTTCCTTTCCTTCCCTTCGAGGAGGGCTGCGGCCACGAGGGGCAACATTCGGGGCGGCAGCCGGCCCAACAGCGTTTGGCGGAACATGACGAGCTTTGGGTCGCCTCCGTCTTCGGGAGCTGCGATTAACTCGCTCCACTTGGCGGCCGGACTCCAGGCGCGGACAGGAGGGAGGGAGGGAGGGAGGGAGGGGGAGCGTGGTTTCGAGCAGAGCAAGTGC